GTGGGTGCTTAAGAGTTGGCTCAGTAGTTAAGGGCACTTGCTGCTCTTTTAGAAGACTCTCAGCACCCCTACATGGCACTTACAACCATGTGGATTCTAGTTCCAGGGGATTCAATGCCCTCTTGTGGCCTGTGTGGGCACATACATAATTGCAGGCAAAACACTATATACATCAAATAATATAATAAATAAACATCAAGAAAAGAATGTAAGTGGTCTCTTACCCTTTCATCTACTGAGGAGCCAGGACAGTTACGTAAATAATGCACTAGTAACTCAAAAGCATGCACTTTCCATCAAGGGAACTCAGGGAAATGCCAAGTGTTCTTTGCACAGAGGCCCAGGTGTTGTTAAGCTGCTGAGTTTGAAGGATATTTTTAGGTTTTATTCACGTACCTTGTTTGTTTTAATCTGGAGCGGGGGTTGGATGAAAGTGCCTTTTTATTCCAAAGCCATGGAAACAGATGGTCCTCTTTATTGAAAGATGTCTTAGGTAGAAAGCGCTGTGTTGACAGATACTTTCTTTTAGAAGTTCTACCATCCTGCTGCCTGTGTCATTCATGTCTGCCATTGGGAAGTGGGCTGTGTTTGATAAGATAGCCACTCAGCTCTTTTTAAAATATATTTTATGTCTGTGAGTATTTTGACTGCGTGTCTGTTTGTGCCTGGTGCCTGTGGAAGCCAGAAGAGGACTTCTGGAACTGGAGTTATAGACAGTTGTGAGCTGCCGTGTGGGTGCTGGGAATTGAACCCGGGTCCTGGGGAAGAACAGTCAGTGCTCTTAACAACGGCTGAGCCATCTCCCCAGCCCTATTTTGCTCATTTAAAGGTCCTGGTAAGATTTGGTTGATTCACTTCTGTTTGATTTAAACATCCTCAGCTTGAGCAGGATTCTCTTTAATTATTCTGCTTAGGTTTCACCAGGCTTTTTAAATATATGGATGGTGTCTATGTATTGGAGAATTCTCTGCCATCATTATATTAAATTCTTTTGGCTGTCTGGTATTAGTTTTTATAGCTCATTCATTTCTTCTTTCTTCTTGCTAGCAGTGGTTATCTGCTGAGTTACAGATGGTTTCTTATGAACCGTTATCTTCCAGGTTGATGCTTTCCTAGTCTGTTTTGTTTATTCTACTCTCCATGAGATTTTAATTTTGAATGTTGTGATTCATAGAAGTTTTTGGAGGGTGTTGCTGGAGATTGAACCTAAGATCTCTGTACATACTAGGTACGTACTCAACCACTGAACTATATCTTGAGACCTTTTGAGCTAGTATTTTTTTATTTAAAATGTTTTAATCAATTAATTAATTAATTATTTTTTCGAGACAGGGTTTCTCTATAGGTTTGGAGACAGTCCTGGAACTCTCGTTGAAGACCAGGCTGGCCTTGAACTCACAGAGATCCACCTGCCTCTGCCTCCCAACTATTAATTTATTTTTTACATTCCAATCCCAGTTCCCCTTCCCTCCTCTCCTTCCCCCCCACTCCTTCCCCCACTCCCACCTGCTCCTCAGAGAGGGTAAGGCTTCCCCTAGGATGTCTACTAATTCTGTTCCATCATCTAGTTGAGGCAGGACCAAGGCGCCTCTCCACCCCCACACCCCTGTATCTAGGCTGGGCAAAGTATCTCTTTTGAGCTAGTTTTTAAATTTATTTTTATTTTCTGTTTATTATCCAAACTGTGTTTATTGGGATTATTTCTCATTCACCCCAATCAGGTGCTTTCGGTCCTTAAGTGTGGTTAGTTTTTGCCAATTTAACACCTATTCAGACACACCTATATCTGGGAAGAAGAACCTCATTGGAGAACAGGCCTGTCAGATTGCATACTGTAGGAGATTATGGTTGGTGGGAAGGCCTGTCCCACTGAGTGGTGCCACCCCTGGGGAGATGGCCCCGGGCTGAGCAAGCTAACCAGCCATGGAAAAGCAAGGCAGCAAGCAACATCCTCCACGGTCCCTGCTTCAGTTTCTGACTGCTCTTGCCTTGAGGCCCTGCCTTGAGGCCCTGCCTTGAGGCCCTGCCTTGAGGCCCTGCCTTGAGGCCCTGCCTTGAGGCCCTGCCTTGAGGCCCTGCCTTGAGGCCCTGCCCTGGTGGCCCTCGATAATTGGCTGCAAGCCATAAGCCAAATCCACCTTTTTCCTCTCCAGGTTGCTTTTGGAGGAATGCAGAATTGTAAACTCTCTGGCTTTATCACAAAAGGGCGGCAACATCTCCGTGTTCTTTGCTCCTGTAGAAAGTTACCCAGAGAACCCCCAGCCCTGGAAGGGAGTCAGGAGACAGCAAGAGCAGCGACAGAGGGCCCCGGTTCCAGTGTAGATAACCCTTGGGCCTGGGCCTGACTTGCTTCCCCAACAGCCCTGGCCTCCCCCACTTCTCCTTGTGCTCCCCACCCAGCTGTCACTGCAGACACCCACAGCGCACTCTCCAGCTTCCATTCTACTGCTGCAGCGCCTCCAGGCCTGTTGCTATAGTGCCCACCTGAATGTCAAGAACAGCAACTGAAGCAAAAAAAAAAAAAAAAAGCAAACGAAAGCAAATACCTTCTTAAACTGATATTACAATTAATAGAACAGTCTAACTACTTGTGAAGGGTATTTCAGAGATTGCAAGTGTAGAGGTGAAAGGCGTGGTTTGGTGTAGGAAGTACAGATAAGTTGGTTAACTTGTGGAGGAATACGTTTATTTAAGGGTGCTGCTATTTATTTTTGCATTGACCCAGTCATGGCTTCATAATGTTTGACTAATTTTGTGTGTATCTTTCTTAATTACTCAGTTTTTGGTCTCCATTTCTGCCACTGTCTTCTAATTCTTGGTCATTTTACTACGATTTGTTGTGCTCTTGGTCACCCCTGATGTGCTTTCTAATTAGTATAGATTTGAATATTTCTCTCCTCTTATGCAAATTAATGGTTTTTAATCTTTTGATAAATCATGTATTTTTCATAATCTCCCACTGGTAATTTTAGTCTTTTGGTATTTCATTATACAGCATTTTTCCCTCACTTATTTTATATTTTTCTGAATTTCTTAAGTTGAATACTGTCACCTTCAGTAGTTTGTGTATTTTAGGCAGGGAACATTTTGTCACGTATTGTAATAAAAACTGGGAATATAACAGAACACATTTATACTTAGGTTCATGTTCTAGTAAAAATACATATGTATAAACCCCTCTACTGTAGTATAAAGATACTGCAATGTTCAGTGTTGAGGTGTATGGTTATATATAGGCATAGAATAAGAATAATGCTGGCTGGGGATCTGTGGGAAACTGTAGAGATGAAGTGTGAGTTGTATAAAAGTCTTTCAGGAGAAATACAAGGTATGGAAGGGTGTTTCAGAGACAGAAATCTGTGTGAAGTCACAGGTGAAAGTCATGGTGTGGTCAGTGCAGGTAAGGAGTAATGAGGATTTCATATGACATAGACATTTCTCTCAGTGATCCACTTTTATCTTCATTTCTGTGTCTTTTCTTTTTATTTATTTTATTTTATTTTTTTGTTCCGAGACAGGGTTTCTTTGTGTAGTTTTGGAGCCTGTCTGGAACTAGCTCTTATAGACGAGGCTGGTCTCAAACTCATAGAGATCCGCCTGCCTCAGCCTCCCAAGTGCTGGGATTAAAGGTGTGCATTACCACCGCCTGGCTTATATATTTTATTATTATTATTAACTTTTTATAATTTAACTTTATTTTATGTACGTTGGTGTGGAGATGTCAGATCCCTGGGAACTAGAGTTTTAGACAGTTGTGAGCTGCCATATGGGTGCTGGGGATTGAACCTGGGTCCTCTGGAAGAGCAGCCAGTGCTTTTTACCTCTGAGCCGTCTTCTCTAGTCCCCCTTCCTCATCTTTTATTTAATTGGGAGAGAGCTGCTTTCTCTTTTTAAAAGATTTTTAGAAAAGTTATGTGTATAGGTGTTTTGCCTGCATGTCCGTCTGTGCACCACATTTGTGTAGTGCCTGTGGAGGCTGGAAGATGTCAGATCCCTTGGAACTAAAGTTACAGAAGATTGTGAGCCACCATGTGGGTGATGGGAAATGAATCCAGGACCTCTGGAAGATCAGTCAGTGCTCTTTAACGTCTGAGCAGTCTCTCCAGCCCCATCTTCTTTTTTAGTAGAAGTTTAGAATTTTTATCTACTCAGAGCTGTCAGTCTTTTTATAAGGACATAATCAGCACAAGATAATAAAATGCTAGTACCTTGAAAAAGTAATATTGTAAGTTTCAAGTATTATATGTGACTAAAAATCTGAGAAATAAGCTAAACCATTTTTAACTTTAAAAGGTATTTTAATGAATAGCATAGCGTAACTCTTGGCTAATGTTCACATCTAGTCTTTAGTAACTTGATTTTTTTTTTTTTTTTAAGTTAGGATCTCACTATGTAGCTGAGGTTGGCCATGAACTCCTGTCATGGTTCTCAGCCTCCCCAGTTCTGAGATGATAGGTGTCACTATGTCTGGTTTTAACATATGGTTCTTTCCCTCCAATTATTGCACTTTCCTTCTCCTCTACTCTTTATTTTTTAAAGACTACTTTATGTAGCCCAAGCTCATCTTAAACTCATTTTGTGGACAAAAAAGAGTGACCTTAAGTTTCTGATCCTCCTGCCTCCACCCCTGTGTACTGGCTTATATGCATGCCTCCATGCCTGGGTTTCTGTATTGCTAGGGACTGAACACAGTCACTACCAACTGAGCTACCTATAGGCCCTTCGCTACTGTTCTTTCTATGTATCTCTTTAGATATTGGCAAAAACAAAAACAAAACAAAACAAAACCCTTGAAAACTATTCAAGTTAAATTTTCTTCCACATTTTGCCTTCATTAGGACTAATAATGATTTAGCGGTCATTGGAAATGGCAAGATAATTAGTATACTAACATGGTTTTTATAAAAGTGTGGAGTGTTCTCTACAGTAGGAAAATGCTTTATTGGAACTGAAATAAAGCCTATTTATTTAAAGCCTCATTAAAGTGTGTTTCCTCTTAGATAAGTGATGAAGAGAAGAGTCTTCGAGAACAGGATATCACTGCATCCTCGCCTAGCCTAAGTGGGGTTAAGTGGGAATCAGAGTCCGTTTACAAGGTATGTAAACATTTGCTAAAGTGTCATGCTTAGCTGTACCTGTATTTTTAACTCAAGACACTTGTGTGGCCCCTCCCACTTCCTTGTGTGAATAGATCTGGTTGTCACACTCAGGAAGCAGTGCTGGGCCACCCTCCACACAGACCTCTTCCTCACTCTGTTGGGGTTCTGACTGCACCCCAGGCCATTCTGTTGAAGGAAAACCTTATGGGTATTGCTTGGACTCCTGCATATGGTGTGGGGCTGCCTCCCTGTTCTCTATTTGGCTCTAAGACTCTTTAATTGGTGCTTTGCCAGAAACTCCTGTACTGGCTGGTTTTATATCAATTTGACACAAGCTAGAGACATTGGAGAGGAAGGAGCCTGAATTGAGGAAATGCCTCCCTGAGATGCAGCTATAAGGTATTTTCTTAGTGATCAATATGGGAGGACCCAGCCCATTGAGGGTTGTGCTATTCCTGGGCTGGTGGACCTGGGTTCTGAAAGAAAGCAGGCTGGGTAAGTCATGGAGAGCAAGCCAGTAAGCAGCACCCCTCCATGGCCGCTGTATCAGCTCCCACCTCCAGGTTTCTGCCCCACTTGAATTTCTGTCCTGACTTCCTTTGGTGATGAATAGCAGTGTGGAAGTATAAGCCGACTAAACCCTTTCCTCCCCAACTTGCTCTTTGGTCATGGTGTTTTGTCTCAGTGGTAGAAACACTAACTAAGACAACTCCTGTGGCAGTTCTTGGGCTCTTACACACTTTGGCTTATGGCTTTGTGTGGTCTCATTGCATCTGGGCTCTGACACTGTGAGCCAACTTGCTTCCCATGGGGATGCCTTCCTGAACCTAGTCCAGCTTCTGTGCTGGGCCACCTTGGTTTCCTCTGTCCTCTCAACACAGAGAAGATAACGTGGGATTAAATAGTTGTGAAGGGGAAGAGGGAAATCTGAAATTAACTGGAAACTTGGTAACTTCTGTCTTATAGTTACCTTTGGAAATGATGGACAGACAGTCTGGTAAACTCAGAAGTACACCTTTCTTACCTACTTATCCAGTTTTTATTCTTTATTTTTAGTTTTTGTCTTAGAAAGTTGACCAAGTTGACCTTGCCCAGGCAGGACTTGGATCTGTGATCCTCCTGCCTCAGTCTCCTGAATAGCTGGGTTTAAAGGCTGGGCTCCCATGCCCAGGTTGAATGCATGAAGTCTTGCCTCCACATTCACTCTCTGTACTTTTTTCTTTTTCTTCACATGGAGCCATCATCCAAACTCCTTCCCAGCTTAGTGTATGAGGACTAATCTTTGAGTCACAGCATACATTTCCATTGCTGGACCATCACAGCATCTGTTGCTTCTGCTTGGGCATTTCCGTTTGTACCGTGGTTACCACAGTGATTTAGAGGCCTAGACTATTACAGCAAAGGACATGGGAGGGTCATTTAGCTTTTGTCTTCCTTCCCTTTCCCAGGTTTGCAGATTTGTCTTCTGAGGTTCAGAGGAATTTATTTCACTCACTAAATCATAAGCCAGTAACAACCTAGAATAGATTTCAGATTTGGATTAGAGCTTCTTCCAAATGCTGTCATCTGCCCTTGCGCACATTGCACTAACCCTTCTTCCCTGTGCCTCTGCTGTGTCTTGGGCACCACCTGCTGCATGCCATAGCACACATGGCTCCCTGTGGAGCTGTTTGATGTTCCACAGGGATTTTTTTCTGTCCTTAAATAAATTACAAACTCTTTGAGGAAATGAACTATGTTGTAGTCAAGGAAAGCAGTACGTTTGTCCAAAGCTTTGTAGTTAAAAGACATCTGATCGCAAGCTGGAGACATGCCTCAGCGCTTATGAACATGTATTGCTCTACCAGAGGACCCAGGTTTGGTTCCAAGAACCCATATTGGATAGCTCACAACTGCTTGTAAGTCCAGCTCCTGGAGATCCAATACCCCATCTAGATTCTGGACAGTGTACTCATGTGCTCATACCCCTACACAAACACACACACATAAACATAATTAAAAAAACCATTTAAAGTATACATGGTCTGTTCAGAGTGTGAGGTATCATCAGATGCACAAAATTGCAACAGACAGTGTCACCCAAGACTGGATGAATAGACAGCTTGGGAAACTTTTTATGGAAGGTTTTGCTTCATTTTCAAAAGAATGAAAAAAGATTTTCCAGAATGACAATTTTCACACTCAACTAAGATCCTATTATGTTTATCTCTTATACGGTGGGATAATTCATAGGACTTAATCCTGTTTCATTTAAAAACAAGTGCTTAAATACTTAGGGCAGATATTTAACAGCAACGCTGAAGGTTCATTATTTCAGCTTGTCGGTGTTGAGAGAAGCTCTTCACATGTGCTTCTCCAGTGGAGGGGCAGAAACTTAGGTCACCAGGTTTGGGATTAACTTCAACTGCAAGTCATTTCTAGCACTCGATACTTTTTAAAGATAAGAATGAGAAGAACACAGTTTGACACAGAATCTGAATCTGTCATGAGGTGACTATGACAAGTTTATAGAGACTTTGAAGTAGAAGTTTGAAACTTTGGGGTTTATAATTCAGAAGTTTGTAGGTTATTACTAAAAGAAAACATTTTTTACAGGTTCTTACTGTCTTTTGAAACATGTACTCTAAAGCATTTATTTGGATCCTGTTAATTCTTCCTAATGCTAGCTAGCTGTTTGGTTTTAAGGAATACATCTTTTATTCCTCCTTTCTTTTTAGAGCTGCTGGCACTAATGGGGTTTTGTTTGACTTAATGTTTGACGTCTCAGAACCTCCTAACAGTAGGCACTGATCTATTTCCCTGTTTCACTCTGAACCCAGATCCCCTTTGCTGATGCTCTGGACCTGTTCAGAGGAAGGAAAGTCTATTTGGAAGATGGCCTTGCTTACGTGCCGCTTAAAGACATCGTGGCCATCATCCTGAACGAGTTCAGAGCCACGCTGTCTAAGGCTCTGGCAGTAAGTGTCCCCCTTTATGTCTTTATTTGACATCATTATAAATCCCTGGTGATTGTGCTTTGTGTTCTTTTACAGAGTAAGTTAATTTAATTTTCATAGTGACATTTCGATTGCCTGTGGTATTGTGTTGTTAATTGTGGAATCCTAGTTTTTTAATGTGTTCAGTCTCCACACATGGTTTTGTTATTGCTTCTTCTAATAGCACTAATGGGTAACTGAGTAATTATTGCAGTGGCCTCTGTAGGTTGTTCATCAAATCATTTCTGCTTGGCGATAGCCTCTATGTGTGGTTCCTAAAAGCACTGTGGCTGTTGGTGGAAACCACCTCTAGATTTCTGTTGTGAATTGCTATGTTTTTATCAGTAGAGGGCATCGTTGAAGCAAGTTTTGGTGTTCTTATTTTGTAGTGTTGGGAGTTGAAACCTGGGGACTTGTGCTTGCTAGGAAGTCATCTATAACTGGGCTGTGTGCCCTCAGCCCTAGGAGAAAGTGTTTATATTTAAGTACCAAAAACAGTGATAGGCTACTGCTGAGTAAATAGCCCAGAATTACCTGGCATTCAAAGAGTTGCACTGAATAAATGACAGTATATTCAGTTTGTGAAATTCAGAGTGATGACACTTGGCTTTTAATATAGGTCAGTTTTTTTTTTAAATGCTTTTTTGTTCTTAATGTGGAAGAGTACATCAGAGTCAAAGAACAATCATGAAGCTCTATATAATGACAGTTATATAAGCATGTGGTGTGCTTTCCTTTTGAATTAAAATTGTAGTGTTTTCTGGTACAAATAATTCTCTCTCTCTCAAAAGATTTATTTATTTATTATGTATACAGTGTTCTTCCTGCATGTGTCCCTGCAGGCCAGATCTCATTACAGATTGTTGTGAGCCACCATGTAGTTGCTGGGAATTGAACTCAGGATCTCTGGAAGAGCAGCCAGTGCTCTTAACCTCTGAGCCATCTCTCCAGCCCCAAATAATTCTTATTATTGACTCTCTAGGGTCACTTAAGCATGCACCATTCAGTTATGCTAGTATTTGGGAAGGCTAAGATATCAACTATTTTTATTAGGTGAGGCATTTTATAGAAACATCTATTTTTCCATGCAGATTTTCATGTGTGGGTATGTGATGTTAATGGTGAAACTGCAGGCCTTGTGTGTGTGCTAACCTGTGGTCTACTACTGAATTATACTCTCAGCTCTGAGAAGGTATTTAGCTTTTAATATTCTTTATCTCTAATTCCGTGATACATCATAAACCTTTATTATGGTTGGTGCTCTTAAATTGTTTCTTCATTTCTCTGTGATTTACTCCAACCCACAATGTATTTATGAATAAGCCTAGTGACTTCACCACTATGGATCACTGTTTGTCTATTGGTTGGCATTCGCCCTTTGCAGTTCTTGTTTTTCAATCAGTCCATTTCTCTGTCGATGTTTTGGATAGCACTTCTTTGTGTGAAACAGGTATGTTCTTTTCAGGGCAGTAGACAGCAGTGAATGCTGCCCACTAAATTTTGGTAGTGGCCTCTGTTTTCCATAGTCACCAAAGCCATCACCACTTTTGTTTCTGAAAGCTTCAGGATGGTGGCACCAAACCTGAGACAGTTGAGACTCCTTCCTCAATTCTGTTTGTAGTAACAGAAAGCGTCCTGATCCTTCCCCGCTTTAGAGATTATAACACACACTACTTTCTACTCCAGCTACCCAGTTGCGGGTTGTAGAGACAGATCTGTGGTATCTGAAACAATAATGGAGTGTGTTAGTCCATAAATTCAAGAAGTCAAGAAGTTGTATGAGTGACACTAGTGTCCCCATTAGTACTCCTGTTTCTCTGCAGTTGTCTTTACCTGTATACATGCGCGTATGCTTTGTCCTTGGTTTAGCTTCATTCTGTTCTTCATCTTAGACTTTATTGTGCTTGAAATGGCTTAAGGTACAAGCTGGATCACTTCCTTAGGGATGCTTTGTCAAAGTACTATAAACTGGGGGTCTCAGAAGAAACATTCACTGTTTTCTGATTACAGAAGGTAGAAATTTGGGATTAAGATATGAGTAGGACTGTTCTCTGAACTGTTGGGGAAGGGTTTTTCACGTCTCTCTCTGAGTTATTGGTATTTGATATGTGACAATATAACTGTAGTCTTCATGTGAAACTATCCATATGTCTCTCAAATTTCTACTTTTTATAATAATACCAGTTATATTGGATTAAGGCCCTCTGCTCTACTGTGTCTGCAGTGGCTCCATTTCCAAATATATTCACATTATAAGGGAATACCAATTACAGCTTCAACACATCAAAATTTGGGAGGCATTATCCAAACTGTCTTGTATTCCTAGCCATTTATCATGGCCAAAAGGATTGCCTAGCCTAAGGCTGTAATTCTGTTGCTTTGTTTGGTGGTTCCTGAGATCCTGAGACTCTGCATGTTCCCAAATGGTAATGTCCTCAACAGAAATGCAAGATGAGCTGTTAGGAGCGAGCAGAGGAGAAGAACTGTGGAGGCAAGCCAAGAAACCCTTATGGTGTTTCAGAGCTAATTATGGCTAGTGTTTTACAAATCTTAAACACATTTTAAAATCTTTTACCCATCCATTTTATAAATTTGCCTTGAAGACAACTTTTGTGGGGATCATTTGCTGGGCATTTGTCTTTCACACAGTTCAAAGTATTACATGTGTATTTGCTCTTTATCTTCTTGATAATACAATGTGGAAAGAAGACCATATGGCAGCTTTTCATAAGCTTTTACTTTTTCTCCCTATTCTATGGGTAGAAAATGGAGGAATCTGAATATACGAGAGTAAAGACAGAATTCTTTGTGTTCCTAAGTTTGTAATCAGTACCTTTCCAACAGATTGCACCTGGCCTTGTATCTTGGTAGCAGATGTAGCAGAGTATGGCTATGTGTCCTCTTTTCCCTCCATTCATTCTTCCTACAACATGAAATTCTTCAAAAAAATTTTGAAATGTTCACTGCCTTACAGGAAACATGTTTAAAACAGTAACTGTCTGTGAACTGCTTTGAGAATGAGACCCTAATCTGATGTCTTGTGACTTCTTCACCTTTCAGCATGAGTCCTATAAGTGACACATTCTTCTGCATGGCTGTCATCCAGGCTCAGCACCCAGTCAACTTTCACCTGTCCCATCGTTCATTTCAAGAGTCCGAGCCTAAGTCCCATATATATGCTGTCAGTCGTCCTTGTAGCCTCCCTGGGGCTGGGTCCATTCTTACTCTCTTCTTAACTTTTCATGGACTGTTTTATGTTTGAATGTTGTAGAGGAGGCATTTTCTAGAATAGTTCTCAGTTTGGCTTTGTTTATTGTTTCTGTATGTTTAAGTTCAAGATATATATTAAACAAAAAATGACACAGAGGTGGTAGGTACTGCATTCTGCCAGAACATGATATTGATTCATTCTTATTCTGAGGACTTTATCAATACAAAGAATATGCCATTGCCACCACTCATGACCCATCCCTGATAAGGGAATTCAAAATTACAGAAATTGTGAAATGTCTGAGAAAGAATTTAGAGTCTTATTGTTCCAGAAAATTAACCATCACTTAGAAGAGTCAAATAGATGCATAAATTAAGAAATTTATCTATGACCTTGACAAGATTGTCTCCAAAATGAACATAACAGTTAATAAATTAGAGGAGAAAGTTCAAAGTATGGAGGGAAAACTTAGCAAGGAGATACTCAGATAAAAACCACAAGAGACATTATCTTTAACAGATAAGACCATGTGGGAGAATGAACTTCAGGGATGAGGACAGAGTCAGGACAATAATACAATCAGACATATAAGAAAAAAAATAAGGTATAATTCATAGAGATAGATAATATTTCCAAGAAGTCTGGGGCACATTCAAGAGGAGGCCAAACTCGAGTACTAGTGGTATAGAAGAAGGAGCAGAGGTAAAACTGAATGGAACGGACAGACTGCTGAAATGACAGGAGAAAACTTCAGAAATTGATAAAAGTAGGCTTCCAAGTACATGATGCTTATAGAACTCTAAATAGACATGAGCAGAGAAGAAATTCTCAATGACAGTTTATAGTTAAGGTGTCAAAAATACAAAGTAAAGAAATAATCCTAACACACGATACTTACAGAACTCTAAGTATTCATGACCAGAGAAAAATTTCTCCATGACATTTTATAATTAATCAAAAATACAAAGTAAGAAATAATCCTAAAACTTGGAGAAAAACACCAACTTCCATACAAAGACAGAAATATCAGAATTGCCCCAGGCTTTTCATCTGCAAGTGTAAATGCCAGAATGAAGGAGATGTTTCAGGCTCTGAAAGCAGACAACTGTGAACCAAAAATGTTATATGTTGCAAAGCTATCTTTCAAAATTGATGGAGAAATAAAAGAATTTAAAGACAAATACAAATAAAGGTAATTTATGACAATCATGCCAACACTGCAGAAAGTTCATAGTGGAATGTTTATAGGGAGGAAGATAGCATAGCTATAGATAAGCAAACTGGATTTGGGGAAGAAGCAACCATATCAAACACAACAACTCAGCAAACCATTAAAACTAATATGGTAGCAGCAAATGGAACAGAACATTACCTGTTTCAGAGTTCCTATTGCTGTGATAAAATATCCTGACTAAAAGCAACTTGGGGAAGAAAGGGTTTATTTTGCTTATACTTCCACATCACAGTCAGTCATTGAAAGGGAGGCAGGGCAGGAACCTGGAGGCAGGAGCGGAAGCAGAGGCAATTGAGGAGTGACGCTTGTTGGCTTTCTCCTCATGGCTTGCACAGCCTGCTTTCTTAGAGAACCCAGGACCGGCAGCCCGGGAATAGTGCCACCCATAGTGAACTCATCCCTCTCACATCAGTCATCAGTCAAGAAACTGCACCAGAGACTTGCAGGCCAATCTGATGGAGCATTTTCTCAATTGAGGTTCCCTCCTCCAAAATGACTAGCTTGTCTTGTTGACATAGAACTAGCCTGCTTGATTCA